TGAGGGCATGTGTTTTATCTCTTGATTAGTGTTGATGAGATCGCAAGCAGATTCTTGCATAAATCATTCTAACTGTTAGGCGATTCGACTCGCCGTACATTTTTAACTAAAAATGCCTATTTTATCTTATGAAATATCCGCTTTTGTTTAAGTTGCATTTCAATTTGGAAGTAACATATCGGCATAGTTATTTTTTTAGTCCTGTTGGTTTAACGTCATAGTAATTTTGGAAGGTTCTAATAATTTGTTTTGTTGGTCCTATGATTTAATATTTTGCTACAATTTTACTGAAATTGCAACAAGTTCATGAGTTCCTTCATTTTTGATTAAATTTAAACTTTTGTTTTTTATTCATGTATTTTGTTGCAATTTTAGCTCTTAAAGGATTGAAATTACAACAAAATAAATCATAAGACTTTAGGACTCAAAAGGTGAAAAGTTAAAATTTTGGGATGAAAATTGCTATGACATTATATCAACAAGAATAAAAAAGTGTATTTTTGCCTAACACATCTTTAGTTGGTCTATGCTTTTTCTTAATTTTGTCCTAAGTACTAACCATTTAGGTGGATTGATTTGATGGCCATGATTTTCTTGAACATTTGGACTAAAAGTCTCAAACACTATATGTTCATAAAGAAATGGATATTTAAAGGATCTTTTTTTTTTGGCAACTGTAATTCATCCCTGAAAAAATATGTAAATATTATACAGATTGAAGCATCGTGGGCCTGACTGGAGTGGAATATATCATGATGGGGACTGTTATTTGGCCCATCAGAGACTGGCCATCGTCGATCCAGCTTCCGGCGACCAGCCGCTCTTCAACGAGAACAAGAAGATTATAGTCACTGTATATATATATATATCCCTTTTTATTACATTCTCTGTTTCTTTCTAGTTCCTTTTCACATGATAATTGTAATAAAAATTGGAACTTTAAACTTGTGTATTGTTTTTAAGGTAAATGGAGAAATCTACAACCACGAAAAGCTTCGTGAGCTTCTACCGAATCACAATTTCCGTACCGGAAGTGATTGTGATGTCATCGCTCATCTCGTGAGTAGTTTTTATTGTGTGTGTGTTCTTTTTTTTTTTTTTGTTTTTGGCCTTAATTCACTCAGTATGAAGAATTTGGAGAGGATTTTATCGATATGCTCGATGGTATGTTTTCGTTCGTGCTGCTCGATTCTCGTGATAACAGCTTTATTGCGGCTCGTGATGCGATTGGAATAACTTCTCTGTATATCGGCTGGGGGCTCGACGGTAATTACTATTCGCCTATTTGGTTTTTGTTAAGAAAATTTTAGACTGGAATTTTGATGTTAGGTTGAGTTGAAATGAATTGTTCTTTGCTTAGGCTCTGTTTGGATATCGTCCGAGCTCAAAGGTCTTCACGACGAGTGTGAGCATTTCGAGGTTTTCCCGCCAGGTCACATATACTCGAGTAAAAATGGAGGTTTTAAAAGGTGGTATAATCCTCCGTGGTTTTCCGAATCTATTCCTTCGACTCCTTACGATCCGCTAGTTCTGAGACGTGCTTTTGAACAAGTGAGAGATTTTTTATTTTTTGCATATATATATTTTTTTTTAAAGTGGTTTTTTCGATTTGTTTTATGAAAAGAAACTAATTTGAATGTGGCTTGCAGGCTGTTGTGAAGAGGCTTATGACTGATGTACCCTTTGGAGTTCTTCTGTCGGGAGGGCTCGACTCGTCGTTAGTCGCCTCTGTTACCGCTCGTTATTTGTCGGGCACGAAAGCAGCTAAACGATGGGGTTCTCAACTTCATTCCTTCTGCGTGGGCCTTGAGGTAAATAAGGTTCTTCATCTTTCGGCTTTTTTTTGTATCGGTTAAAATTTTAGAGCCGATTTTTTTACTTGCTTCTTGTTTTTAGGGATCACCCGATCTAAAAGCTGCGAGAGAAGTTGCTGATTATTTGGGCACGGTTCATCACGAGTTTCACTTCACTGTCCAGGTGAGTCTTTCTTTTAAAAAAAAAATATATTTTCATTGTTATTTTTGTTCATTGATATATTTGTTGCTAAAATACAATTTTTGTCCTTTGTGGACTAAAATTGCAACAAAACTTTAAAGGACTGACAATTCTAAAATTGTATATTTTGGATGGACTTTTGATTAGAAATTACAAATTCAATCTTTTGAATTGCAGCAAGATATTAAATTACAATATTGGAATTAGTATAATGTCATTCGTGTGGGACCTAAATTGCTACATTCATAATCTAATTGGACCAGAATTGCATTTTAGGCTATATTTGTTGAGCTTTTCTTATTATGCTATATTTGTTAGGATGGAATTGATGCAATCGAGGATGTTATTTACCATATCGAGACATATGACGTGACTACGATCCGAGCAAGCACCCCAATGTTCCTCATGTCGCGTAAGATCAAGTCGCTTGGGGTCAAAATGGTAATTTCTGGTGAGGGCTCGGATGAGATTTTCGGTGGTTACTTGTACTTCCACAAGGCCCCGAACAAGGAAGAGTTTCATCGTGAAACTTGTCGAAAGGTTTGATTTTGTTGAAATTTATGTACGTGAACTAAAATGATATATACAACATATAGCATAACGATTCGGTTGATTTTTTTGTATATATATATATATATATCTTTTTTGTCACATGTCCTGCAGATCAAAGCACTTCACCAATATGATTGTTTGAGGGCAAATAAGGCAACTTCCGCATGGGGTCTCGAAGCTCGGGTCCCCTTTTTGGACAAGGAGTTCATGAATGTGGCTATGAGCATTGATCCCGAGTGGAAAATGGTAACGACCCGGATTTTTTTACGGTCTTTTAATTTACTTTGTATTGAACATTACGAGTGAAATCTAAGAAAGAATATTACAGATAAAACCCGACCAGGGGCGAATCGAGAAGTGGATTCTTAGGAGAGCTTTCGACGACGAGGAAAATCCGTATCTCCCCAAGGTAATTAACTTGTAATAATGAGATATTGGCAAAAATCTTAATGGTGATTTTATTTTTCCCCTTTTCACTGATTTTTTTGAATAAATTTATCTGCAGCATATTCTGTATCGGCAGAAGGAACAATTCAGTGATGGCGTCGGTTATAGTTGGATCGATGGGCTTAAAGCTCATGCGGCCGAGCATGTATGTTCTTATTTTTTCAATAAATTCAACCAAAAAATAAAAATAAAAAATAAAAAATTCCAACATTTTTTAATATCATAGCTCAATTAGTGTTTCATTTCTTGACGACTCGAAATAGGTCACGGACAAGATGATGCTTAATGCCGCGCATATCTTCCCGCATAACACTCCAACCACTAAGGAGGCCTACTATTATCGGATGATATTCGAGAGATTCTTCCCACAGGTAGAGAAAAAAATAAATAATAAATAAATATATCCACAAAACATCAAATTAAATAATAAAAAAAAATGACGATTTGTTTAATTTCCATGATGTGCAGAACTCGGCCAAGCTCACGGTTCCTTGTGGGCCCAGCGTGGCTTGTAGTACTGCAACTGCCGTGGCATGGGATGCATCGTGGTCGAAAAACTTGGACCCTTCTGGCCGGGCAGCCTTAGGCGTGCACGACTCGGCCTACGAGAATAATCCACCCAACATTGGCTTGGCAGCATCCAATGTAGTTGGGCCCATTCCACTAAACAATGGGCCGAGCCCACCAGAGCTCACTATCCGAAGCTAGTATCTTTCATGGTGTCAATAAAGGCTTAATTAGCCGTGTGTGAGGCAGATTTGTTTGGTGTGTTGACGAATATGATGAAGCTACGATAAAAATTGTTGTTTGATGTATAACGAATATGATGATGATCAATGCTACTATGATGGGTTTGTTGTGTAGGGAAAATGGTCGAGCTTGAGCTTGATTAGTAGTAGCTTCTGTTTTTTATGTCTCTTTTATTTCTTTGTTTTATGTTTGTCGGAGTCGATGCTTGAAAGGAGTTGTTATGTGCAATGCAATATATTTAATATGCACGATATCGGTTTCGGTTTTGGTTTCTTGTATACGATACGACCGAGTGTGAACTTTGCTAGGTCGAAATGAAATTGGTGATATTTTTATACGGTACGCTATTTAAAACATTGAATTTACACGTACACGTACACACATAATATTTTTGGCAGATTCATTCATTAATATTAGTAATTATTAGTGATTTTCTAGGAATTTAGGCAGTTTTATGTACTCAGTACATCCATAATTCATCCACAAAGCCTAGAAATTTTCAAGTTAGGCTCTCCTCTTGGTAATTATTTATTTGGATTTTTGTTGCTCAATTTGTTTTATTTTAAATGTCTATGAAGTTTGTTGCTCAATTTGATTTTTTCTCTCAATCACTTGATTGTCCAATTCAATATCTCAATGTTTTTATTTTTATTTTTTTTGGTCAATGGATTTTTATAAGTACAGATATAAGTTAAAATTATTGTGTCCGTAATTTGTAACACTAAACATACACACTCACGCTGAAAATTATTTTAAGCAAATAAATGAACGAGAGATTTTTAAGCAAACAAATAAATAATAGACTATGAAGCAAATAAATAAACGACAGACTAATTTTTGTAAAATTTATCTTCTATTAAATATCGAGTTGAATTTATGAAAAATAGTCTTATTAAGGTTAATTTAAGATTATTTTATAATAATTTTGATTGAGAATCACATTCATGAATTTATTGTAACAACTGTATAAAGCTCATCATATTTTTTTATATTTAGAAAAAAAAAAAATAATCCGAATAAAAATTTTAACCTTAAATAATTCCACTAAATTATGTAAAATAATTAAAAATATTTAAAATAATTTAAATAATTTATTTTTGTAATTCAGAATTTCGAAATATATAGTTGAAAAAGGTGAAAGAGATGCAACTAAAAAAAATAAAAAATATAAGAAGAGAAATATATAAGTTGAAAGAACAATAGGTATTGACTAACAAAATATTTGGCCAGCTAAAATATGAAATACAAAAGTATTAGTTAGTTTTTTTTATTTTTATTTTTTATTTTTTATTTTTTTTGCTACAAAAAGTATTAGTTATTTAAATTACACTACTACTAGGAAAAATAATTTTGTCAATTCTAATTGTGACATATTTTATCAAATATCACCAAAGAACATCCCATTGGAAATCTAAAATTTACTACAATCGGATAGATAAAATGATAAATAATTCAGTTCACAATTGATGAAGTGAACCCCAGGCTCTTTTTCTCTCCATCTACCCGTCCACCAAAAACGCTTTTTTCTCAGTCCTAAATTTTCTCCTCAGATTCTTGTCAATACCCCTCGATCTTCTTCGATCGACCATGGTAATGGCTTTCCTTTGTGCTCTTTGTAGCATATCCTTCCTTTTTTCCCTAATAATTCGTTCGATTCTGTTTTCTGTGTCTTTTCTTTTGTTTTGTGTTCTGATGGGTTGTCAGATTCGCGGTTTTTGTGGTCTGAGAGATTGAAGTCAAAGATTGAAGCTTTTTGTTAGATGGGTTTTGATTTAAGTTCTTTTTTTTAGTTTGTATTTTTTTATTGTATTGACCTTTTCTCAAAATTTTAGATCGGATGTAGCGTTGCTTGATTAACTTGATAAATTCTGCTTTTGTAAATGTTTTTGTTAACCGATCTTCGATTTGCCTTGAGTAATGCTCTTTCTTCTGTGTTCTCTGTAAAATTTAGGTCATGTTTAGTTTTTACTTGAGCTGACTAAGTTCCAACATGATTGTGACATTCAATAATCAGACATAACTTCGACGTAGCGGGTTCATTGATGAGCACCGATTTGGGTTTCTGCTAAGTTTGAGTGTCATTTGTCTGAACAGTTTTGATGAAAATAGATTTTCTTGTCCAAAAAAATATGATATAGCTCTGATTGACCTACAATCATTAATGGGTGACCTAAGCTTGAAATCTTTAAGTTTCTTCGATTGTCACTGTTTTGGGTTTTGGCTAAATTTTATGGGCATTTGTTGTTATGATGAAAATAGTTGTTATTCTTTCTCCATAAAGATATGATGGATATGTTGCGATTGGTCTACAATAATTGGGGACTTGGGGTTGAATTCATTGAGAAATTACAACAATTTTAATTTTGTTGCATTTTCTTTTGATTCCCAAAATAGCCAACTTAGACTATTTCCTACATTTGTGCGACTTTATCCTGGTATCTATATATCTTACAACTTACAAGAGCCTTTCATTGCTATATTAAGATTGCTTTTATTCTATTTAATTCTCTTTTAATTTTCAATGTAACCATCTTAGACTTTTCTCCCAAAGTTGTGTAACCTTATCATAGAATCCTTATGTGTTAACTAAGTAGATAATATATTAATCATAATACCACCTACAATCTTAGTACCATTGCATTGTTAGTATTTAAGATCATAGGTCATTAAAACAAAAAAAATCACTGGTGCCTTACAAAGCTACCCTCATAAGAGAATTGGTCAATACCGATTTTAATGATTTCATTTACATTTAGTTGTGATAGTTATATTGTGCTAGGTGCGTATTGATTGAACCACCAGCTTTCAATACAGTTTAAAGAATATCCAGTTTTTGTGTTTGGCCCATTTTACAGAACATTGCATCAACATTTCGATTGGATAAGATAAAATCCACGGTATCTTCGTGTCGTGTGACTTACACTGCTTCGTATCCTTTTCTTTCTCCAAAATTTTAAATACCATCTTTCTGAATTGAATTCGTGGGTTTTAACTTTTGTAGTTTACTCCCTAGCATTTAGAAGATTTTTTTTAGTCCAGCTAGTTTTATCAACTTTCGCTATATTATATCATTCTCACTTGCAGTTCCTACAAATTTCAATATTTGTGCTATCCACATGCGGTAGCAAGAATTAGACTATATATATGTATATATATTAGAATTCTACATTTTTTTCAGTGATAAGAATGATTTTAACTATTTTCCTTTTTCTTTTTTTTTNGACTGTGTGTAGGCTAATTCAGCATCGGGTATGGCAGTTCACGACGATTGCAAACTGAAGTTTATGGAGCTGAAAACCAAACGAACACATCGCTTCATAGTTTTCAAGATTGAAGAAAAACAGAAACAGGTTATTGTGGAGAAGCTTGGAGAACCAACCCAAACGTACGATGACTTTACTGCAAACCTTCCTGCTGAGGAGTGCAGATATGCAGTTTATGATTTCGATTTTTTCACCGAAGAGAATGTCCCAAAGAGCAGGATTTTCTTCATTGCATGGTGAAATTCCCTTTTTGTTTATTCTTTTTTAGAATCTTTCTTCACATTTTATTACCTGACTGGAGAAGAACACTGTTTTACTTATTATCCTCTCTTTTTTCCTCTAAGGTCACCCGACACTGCAAAAGTGAGGAGCAAAATGATCTACGCGAGCTCAAAGGATAGGTTCAAGAGAGAATTAGATGGCATTCAGGTAGAGCTTCAGGCAACTGACCCGACTGAAATGGGTCTGGATGTTTTCAAAAGCCGTGTCAATTAAAATGGTTCTGGTGTTGGATTTGAAGTAATGAAATACAAAGCTATTGCTCTTACTCCCTAAAGTGATGCCAGTGAGTTGTGACAATGGAGCTGGCAAAAATGCTTTATATTATCAGTCTGTGATTGAAGAATTTGAAGTATTATCTTTAGTAGTATCTTGATCTGGAACGAGTTGTGTTGCTTTTTATGCGATTATACGATTCTTTTTCTTCTGTTTGCTGTTTTTGATTTTGTTTTTGTTTTTTTTTTAACGCTATTTCTCCGTGTGCTCGTGTGCTGTGTTTCTGTGAGTTTACGTGGCTGTACAACCATAAATTGGATCGATTCATGTATTTCACAAATGCATTCACTTTATCCTACTTTGTAATTCTAGTACTTGTGCCTTTTCTTGTGCTGGCAAGATGTTGTGGAGATGTACGAAGTTCAGCTTCGGTTTATATATATGCTCATGGAGTGTATTTTACGAATGGTTAGGTTGCATTTGCAGTCAAGTACTTTAATGATCACTAATTGAAGTTTCTGGTTTTAACTATGGTTTTCTCTAATCCATGTTACATCACAAAGGATTTTTTTTATTTTTTATTTTTTCTTTTGTGAGTTCGTGAACAACCCTACCAAAGCCATCAATTATTCCTCTTCCAAGCCATTTCAACACATCCTAGCCAGCATTTCGTTTGGCAAATGTAAAAAGGTAGTGTATTCAATGCAAAGAAAAAGAATAAACTATGACATATTTGAAAATTTCAAAAAGGTAGTAGTGATGTCAGGTGCAGTTTTCCCTTCGAATTATACCTAAACTTTGGTGGACTAAAAACAATAAATAGACACTTGGACAGACTTAAGAGTAAACTTCATGCAAAGAGAAAATACTGATTTACAGTGACACGAACACCATATCCATGGAGAATCAAAATAGAAGTAACGAGGAGATCAAAACAACGGGCCTACAGACTTCCTCAGCTAAAATGCTCCCAAAATTACATACTCGAAAGCACCATCAATTTTGGAAATCGAGCATCTTGATCTGGCCCGTATGTACTTTCCCTTGTTGTGTTTCAGAACAAACGAAAAAAAGAGATCGAATGTTAAAAAATTCAAAATTACACACGGAGGTCTCATCTTATATCCATAAATGTAAATACAATCATTGGGACACGACGAAAAACATAAAGAAAGCAGAAAAAAGGCCAAGGCAGGCATTCTGAAGCAGAGTTCTATTCTCCCCCATAGAGCTCTGTTTCGTCTGAAAGAAAGCTTAATGTCAGGTAAAAAGTACAAATCCAGTTGAACATTGCACTCAAATCCAATACACGCTACAACTCAATTTGTCTGCATCGACTCTGCATGATACTTGTCCAAATCAGCATCAAGATCCTCAGCAGATATCTTCTCATCACGGCCCTTTCCTCGTCCACCACCACGGCCTCTTCCGAATCCACGGCCTCGTCCGCCACCACGCTGTCTTCCGAAACTACCCCTGCCTTGTCCACTGTTTAACAGCAATTATAAGCACGTTAGATAAATAGACATACTTACTGGCATACATGTCAAAATGTTTCAGCTTCCCGACACATGTAACCAAAATGGCAATTTAACTGTTTAACTTATCGAACAAATTACAGTAAGTTGGTTCCAGAGTAGTAGCATTCATTTAAACAGGTAAAACATGACTCATAAAAAAATAAAAAATAAAAAATAAAAAATAAAAACATGATCAATCGCAGCCAAAGATGTCAGATCATTACATTTAAATGATTACATATCAACAGTAAATGAAAGATGGTTTGGTACAAAATTCTACAATATCTCAATCCATCCATCTACTTCTCTTGTTACTAAATTGATTTAGTGCATCAATACATGTGTAAATGCAGTAGCTCCACACAATAAAATGTGCTTCACCATTAACACAACTTGAATCTTGCTACGTAAATTACCAATTATTGAGTGACAGGTTTTCACAATTTGTACAACAGAGGCTTGAAGCCCCCAGCTTATTCATGCAAAAATAGATGTGTCGGTAAAAAATTAATCAAAATATTGATCCACCCAAAAGACATACCTCCGAGGAACAGTAATTGGAGCACCAAAAGCACCAGTAGATGGAAAACCAAGACCAGCATCCACACCAGCACCAACAGTTGGAATATTTGTTCTGACAATCTCGATCTTCATTGGCTTCCCGTCCAGCTGGACATTATTATACTTTTTTATAGCAGCTAATGCATCTTGTCGTCTGGAGAAGACTACATCGGCAGTACCCTAGAGGAGGAACATTGTTCTAAAATAAAGCAGAAGGTGAAAAGTTCACCAGAAAGCAAGACTGCTGTTTAATTCGGGAATACCTTAGACCGGCCACTTCTATCATAGTGTACATTGTAGCGCTTCAAGTCACCAACCTCTGCAAACAGTTCCTACAGTTTCAAATTAAGCACTTGCCTTAGTAAAGGTTGTGTGTATATTAACTTCCAGGAAGAGCCCAGAAACTCAAGGAATAATGGGAAGAATAAACTGAGCAACAGTATCTACATCATAATGCGTATATACAGACTTTTCACCTCTGGAAAGCAAACACCGACACCTAAACTCTTTAATCAAATTACTGAGATATGAGAATCAACAGAACTCCACGTCGTGAAGAAGATGATGATGGAACTGGAGCAATTTTGTAGGCACCAAATATGGATATCAAGAACTATATACTACCAGGAAAGAAGCTAGAGACCAAGTTTACATCGGACCCAAGGGTAAACCTATAAAGACAGAACAAAAAGTGAATAGACCACCAATTCTCAATTTTCTTTTTTTCCTTTTTTTTTTTTTGTGTGTGTGTGTGTGTGTGTGTGTGCGGGGAGCCCAATACCACCTCTTTCTTTGTTGCTCATCCCATCCAAAACCCCATCCTCCAGCTACCCAGGAACTGGGAGACTAATGATATGTTTAATCAATTCAGCCTACAGAACTTGATATGCTTTAAATATTTACGCATTTTATTTATGTCAGCATTATTTTTGTGTATGATAAATATGTAAATATAAAATTTATTTCTTTGGGCTCACCATGCATTCAATCATAGGCTGCAAAGCCATCTGCATTTTTATATGATGGTTTGGATCACTACCACAAGCCGTTATAACCTAGGGATAATATTTTAGCATATAGATACATTTACTAAACTCTATTATGTTATTAAAACTAAATGTTTCTACATTCATCACAGGGAAGTCATCTGCATTTTTATATGCTATGATTTTGAATCTACAAGTTCACAAACGAGCTTGTTCATGAGTGTGCTAACAAAAACAAGTCCACAAGCTAATGGCCGTTTACCGTTGAACTTGAATTTGGTTTAGTTTTATTAACATAATAGAGTTTAGTAAATGTATCGATATGCTAAAATATTATCCCTAGGTTATAACGGCTTGTGGTAGCGATCCAAACCATCATATAAAAATGCTATGATTTTGAATCTACAAGTTCACAAACGAGCTTGTTCATGAGTTTGCTAACAAAAACAAGTCCACAAGCTAATGGCCGTTTACCGTTGAACTTGAATTTGGTTGATTAAAAGCCTTATCAAACAACCTCGAGCGACCTTTAGTCCATTACAGATGTATACAACTCACTAGGGCTTGGTTCATTTAAACCTCGCATCGATATTTAGGCCCATGAATTCACGTTAGCTTCTACCCTGACAGTTGCACCACAATCTAAGTAAACTACTCTGTAAAACCATGTATTAACATTCTAGCAACACTGGAAATATACAGAATACATCACAAACAAATTTTTCACAAGTACAAGCTGTGGGTCAACATGAACTGAAACTAAAAAAGAACATTTGTCAGGACGTCTATGGTGAACATGTTTCAGGCTACCATACCAGCACTAGCTAAAGATTCTAGCAGGCACAACAAACCACTAAAAAGTTTGAAGCAAGTATTCAAATCAAATTCGCATCTTTAATGAAACAATAAACAGTACCAGGAAATCTTAAAATAAAAAACATGTGTGCTTCAGAAAAATCACCTTAATATCCTCATTTGAGACCCCGTAATCTAAGTTGGAAATGTACAACTTGGTCCCAGTCTCTATGCCAGAAGCCGGAGCTCGACCACCGCCGCCACCCGAGAACAGGTCGTGACCCCAAACTGAATCGGGTGCCTACACCACACCAAGATAACTCATCATTCCGAAACGAGAAAAAAGATTGCGCAGCATAACTTCCCCCTCTACTAGTACGGATCCGAAAANAAATTTCCAAAAAAAAAAAACGTATCCAGCAGGGATCTGACCTTGGGAGGTGCGTAGGGAGCGGCTCGATTGGATCGATTGGGCTGGCGCCGAGCCGGGCCGGGACCACCGCCGCCGCCGCCGCGGCCTCTACCTCGAGCGGCGGATTTTTTGTTGCTTTTGATTAAATCGTCGAGGGACATGTCGAGAGCAGCACCTGACATCTTGGATCCCTTTGGGAATTGAGTGTTCGTGCACACAGTGGGAAAGATCTGAGAGCAGATGATTTAGGGTTTTGGGGGAACGAGATTTGGGGAGAGCGAAGACAGAGACCACCAAGCCACGGAAATTTCAAAAATGTACCATTTTTACTTTTGTCATTTGTTTTAAAAGAAAAAATATAAGTATTATTTTGGTTGCGATATTTCATGCTCTATTTGTATATGTATGAATATAAAAAAATGTATATATATAATAACAATTAGAAGTTATATAATATAAAAATAATAAAATATTAATCTATACAATTATTAGTTAGATATGTAATTTTTTATTTTTTATTTTTTATTGTGTTAGTTTACGAGAAAAGAGATAGAATAAAAATAATTTTTTTAATTTTTTTATTAAATATTAGAGAGATAAATATTGATTGATTAGACGAAGAAAAAATATCCAATGGACACCTAAGTGGATTTATTTATTTATATAAAAATAAAAAAAATTAAGTGGACATAAATAAAAAAAAAATAAAACAAGTGGAAAAATATCAAAAGCACGTATTCCCAGAATACGTTTTTTAAATAAGAACGTATTCCTAAAATACGTTTTCAAAAAAAAACGTATTCTAATAATACGTGTTCATTAGAAACAATTAATTAAGGTGATTAACATAATTAAATTAATTAAAATAGCTTAAAAACGTATTCAGGGAATACGTTTTCCTTTAAAATATTTAAAATTAATATTTTTGATTTTAAAAAACTTATTTTTTTGGAAAATAATATTTGCAAAATTAAAACGTATTTTCAAAATACGTTTTTGAACATAATTTTGCCCCAAATTGATTGCGCCCTAATTTTATCCCCAAATCGATTTTGACCTAATTTTACACAGTATAAAAACGTATTTTGAAAATACGTTTTTGAACCTAATTTTGCCCCAAATTGATTGCGCCCTAATTTTATCCCCAAATCGATTTTGACCTAATTTTACACAGTACAAAAACGTATTTTGAAAATACGTTTTACTGTGCAAAAACAGCATTCCACAGAAACAAAATTACAAAAACACACCTGTTAATCGAGATCGATTCCACAACCAAATATAAATTCACAAAACCCATATCAACCATGTCAAAGAAACAATAATGAAGCACAATAATTCACTTTCCAAATATAAAATTCCAAACAAGTTCAAATATCATACACATAAATCCACGAAAGAAAAAAATAAATATATATGTCTACAAATTGTCTCCGAATACAACACAACTAACTAGGAGTGTATCGATTGGTAGGGTTGCGCGGTCGGTTGCTAATCCGACGCTGTGGTGGTTGTGCAGAAGACGATGCTGTGGGTGTGGTAGGTTCTTGTTCTTCTTCTTGAGTTGAGTAATTAAGTTTTTTAAGAAATTAGAAATGTGACTTAACAAAAATCACAAAACATAAATAAAATTATATTTTTGTTAACTAAAAGATGTTTACCTTCTTCTTGTTGTTCCTCAGGCCCGGCGTCGGCAACTGGTTCGCGGTGACGTCGTCTTCTACCTCCACGAATATGGGGAGGAGGTTGATGCCTGGCTCGGTGTGACTGCGTCCTCTGGGGTTGGACGTAGCTCTCTTGTGATAAAACTTGGCTTGACGACGTCCCCTGACCGATCTCTCCGCCTCCGACAGTCAGAGATGTGTAGAGAAGGCTCTTGGCATATTGGATTGCCGCCTGCATCTCCGGATGGGCTGTATGATATAGATGCTCAACATTGGATAACACGTTATAAGCCCCCTCCATGCCGCTAGCCTGAAAATTTAATTCAAAGTAATTTTTATGAAACNC